GCACCAATATGGGCATTGTTGTTCTTTCCAGCACTAATATGGACTTCGTGTGTTCTCTGTTCTAATATTATGGACGATGTTGGTTTTCTGCGCTAGTTATGGATGTATTGCGAGTGTACTTCGCTGTTGTTAATGAATCTAATTCCATATCCCCGCCCATCTTTGTCAGACAGTTCATTTGCTGATATATACACAGGGCCATGTAGGAATCGCCCTACTCTTGTTAAGAGCTTCATTTTTAGGACTGCTGTGGCGATTCTGTTCTTACGAAAGGAGGACTTCCTCCCTGCGCAATAGTCCTCACCCGTAGCATTTACTCTAGGGTAAAGCAAAGGTAAAATGTGAAGCTATCCCTGTAACAGACCGTGGAGGCCCATAGGGTTGTGAGACGTCGATGCTCCCATATTTTCTCTAGACAGTCCGCTCATAGATGGTGGTAAGGTTGTCAGCCTTACGCGCCGGCCGACCTTTACTCCCCAGGAAGATTCCTGGTTCTCATTTTTGTCAGAGGCTGAGTCGACCCCAGGGCCATAGTGCTGCTGGAAGGATTAGGTCAGTTGAAAAAATCCACGTCATCGGGACTCGACCCCACCAACTTCCGTCTTGTAGAATAGTGCCTCATCGAACTGCGCTACCGCGTGCTTCCCGCTGTGGTAAAATGTTAAGGTATTCCTGGCCCTTATTAATTAAGCAATAGGCAATGAATACGAATAGGGGGTGGAAGTATAGCACCACCATTCTTCACCTCGGCATTAGATGGAGGCGAGAGGTCAGCTTCACGTCCCTGCCGCTTTAATTCCGGGGAAACAGCGCCCAGTATCGATTGTATATGCTGCTGGGTAGGCCTCAGAGCCGGTCTGGACGTTATGGAGAAGAGAAAATTCCTTACCCCTACCGGGAATCGAACCCTGATTCATCGGTCGTACGGTCCGTTCTCAAGTCGCAATACAGACTGAGCTACCTCGCCTCCTGTTATCACGAAGTACGCAAGGATACGTTTTAGTAGCTTTTAGTAGAAGCCGAAACTGCCTTGAAATGAAGTAGTTTCCACCTGTGAGCCCAAAGTTTCAGATCTCGAGGTATGGGAAGGGTTTGCAGATTAATTAGGATTTAGTAACAAATCAGGAGCCGTGGTAGCGCAGTCGGTATAGCGACTGGCTACAAGCTGGACGACTGAGGGGTCGGAGTTCGAGTCCCGGTAGGGTCAAGAATTTTCTCTTTCCCAAATCGTCCAGACCGGCTCTAGGGTTCACCCAACCTCCTATCCAATGGGTACCGGTTGCTCTTTCCCCCGGGGTAAAGCGGCAGGGGCGTGAAGCTGACCACTCACCTCAATCTAGTGCGTAGGTCAAGAAAATGTGGATCTGTACATCCACTCCTCCATACGTCTTCATGGCGTAGCGCTTAATTCGTTGAGCACAGGGACATCTTTACCTTACCTTTTAGTAACAAATAACTTGACATTTAATCTAGCCATGAATACTTAATGGACTCAAAATGTCGGTGTGATGTTTGAAGTTCTCACAGTGGTCACTGTGAAGAGTGCTGTTTTCGTACCCTGGTACGAAGGTACCATCGTTTCGTAGGAATCTGCTGCCTTAATCTTCAGGGTAGAAGAAGGGAAGGTATCTTAAGATGGTTGCAACAGTTTCCCCTGGAAACGTTTGTACCGTTATTGAATTTGAAGTTCCTACAGTGGTTGCTATGTAGTGTGCTGGGATATAGCCCGGCAAAATTGCTGTCTGCTTCATGCTGGTTTCTCGCTTGAAATACTTTTAGATCCTGAGGATGGAGCCGATATGTTCCTCCGAAATTTCGCTTAACAAGACCACACGACATCACATCCCAGAAGACAGTAAAGGTAAAAAAGAGGTAACGTTGTCCCTGTACTTAATTAGGCACTACGCCTTGAAGGTGTCTGGGGGAGTGGATGTATACATCCACGTTTTCTTGACCTCGGCACTAGTTGGAGGTGACTGGTCAGCTTGACGCCCCGTAGTCTTTACTCCCGGGGAGAGCCCCCAGTACCCATCGGATAGGAGGCTGAGTGGGCGTCGGAGTCAGTCTGGACGACGGAGAAGAGAAAATTCTTGACCCTACCGGGAGTCTAACTCCGACCCCTCGGTCGTCCAGCTCGTAACCAGTCTCTATACCGACTACGGTATCCCGGCTCCCTCCCAGAAGACAGTAATGTTCAAAAATGTTCTTGGTTTACAGTTTTGTACTTTTATAATACACGTATATAGACGAAAGTTCGTAACTTGCAGTGGGTAAGCCAACTAAACATAAAGAGGGAGAACAATATTATCTTTTTTGATGAGAATACCGCGTAGTTTATACTGTTTTTTCCAATGCGGATGTCTGCAGAATTCGAGGAATGCGAAGCGAATGGCATTCCTTTTTACTTCGCTCCCTCCCAGCCCCCACCTTCTGTAGTTGGAACCCGAACTTCTCGCGGGCGTAACAAGCCAGGGGAGGGGAACCTGCAGACACAAACCATTTCCCGCGGTGGCAGCTGTTTGCGTTGCTTGCTGATCCAGCAGCAGCTTTTTTTTCTTTTCTTTGCGAGAAATAAGCTACCAGTGATTGGAAATACATTCACTCTACAGACTTGCATTTCCAGCAGTTCTGTTTCTTTCTCAGGCATAATTTCAGCAGCAGCATCATATTTATGTGGGGAAAAGAAACTTTCGCTGTCGATTCTTCTTTCATCCGTGTGGAATTTCTTAAGCGAATCTGTTCTCCAGCAAATTTCCTCTTTATTTGTGGGATATTTAATAAGTGTGATCAGCTTCAAGATAACTTTTTTTAAACTAACTTAGTTGAGACATTTTCGTTCATCTAATTTTAGCTGTAGAGCAAAACGTTTCGAAAGCAGGATACACTTCCGTCTTTTGGTAAAATTATGAAACCTTCTGACGGAAACTGATGCACATTCCGAAATGTTTCGTTTTTAATCTTCGGTATCAAGCATTAGGTCCCAAGGTCCTTTGCGACACCTAAAGTTTCGTTACATTATGTTCATTTTAATAGCAGCAGCAGGAGCAACAATAATTCAATTCAATTAATGTTTGTTTACGTGCAATAACTTAACAGCACAGTGGCCAATTACAAAGTTAGCACGCGTATATAAGGTACAGAAAATAATTAAAACAAAATACAAATATGACAAATAAATCTGTGAGCATAAATCTAAAGAAGACTTAAATATATACATACATTTATAATAATAATAAAAATAAAAATAAAAATAAAAATGAAAGAGGCTCTGGAGAATGTCCAGCACACTACACGATTATAGCTCTTTTTCGTCACAGACGTTTAGACTTGTTCAAGATTATTTGCTGGCGAGTGAGAGTGAATGAGAATGTAAGGTGGATTGGAAGCTTTGTAGAGTATTGCCAGGTACTGTCATGATATTCGTGTGCAGCGACAGCAAAAGTCACATCAGGATGGCATGGGGCGTCTCCAGCATTCCACCTGGCTAGTTTCTTGTCCGGGACTCAGTAGAAACTGGGAGAAAGTGAGAGGGGGTGTAATAAGCGTATTATCTATACTTTAGTTTCTTGGGGTGGGGTGAGACTGAGTCCACTTGGTACGTCGGCCACTAGTTGGTCTATTGTACCAGCCCCAGATGATAGATGATTGAGTGTGGAGCAGTTGGTGGAATGAGAATTGGTAGGGGAAACCAAAGTACTCGGAGAAAACATGCCTCGGTGCCACTTTGTCCACCACAAATCCTACGTGACCTGGCCTGGGTTTGAACCCGGGCCGCCGCAGTGGGAAGCCGGCGACTAACTGCCTGAGCTATGGCACGACCAAATTGTCTGTGTACGTGTGCGGCTCGCGATCTTCAAGAAGAGTCGCAGAGCCGAACTGTTACCTCCGGAATACGAATTAGTCTCATTACCGATAAGGGTTTCGTTGTTACGGAATGCGCTTTTTCCGTTGTCGTTTGATGTGAGAGAAGCAGTCGCATGTGCATGGACGCTGACAGGATTCTTACCAAGGGAGAGTGGTGGAAGCCAAACAGTTTGCTTTAAAACTTACGTTTAAGCCATTTAGAACCAATTTCACTGATCGCCTGAAGTTTTCAAGATAGAAGAATACTGTTTGAAGTACATAAAGGTAAACTAAAGTTATCCCAGAGCTTAAATAATGAAGCACCACTCCATGAAGACACGTTAGAAGTGGAGGTGTAGCTCCATTATTAACCTGGGCACTAGATGGAGGTGAGTTGTTTGTTTCACGTCCCTGCGGTTTTAGCCCTAGGAAATTTTATAGGAGGCTGGGTGGGCTTCAGAGCCAGTCTAGACGTTATGGGGAAAGAAAAATCTTTTGCTCCTTCCGGAAATCGAACTGAGACTCCACGTCGTTCAGCCCATAGCCTAGTCGCTATGCCAGCTGAGCTCAATTTTTATTTTTTTAATTTCTGGGGTGGGAGCGATGTCTGGTTTGCCTCCCTTTGCCGGCACCCAAGCCTATCCATCTTACAGCGTTTACTGAAATAAAACATCTCAGATAACAACAGCATCATATCCAGAGATTGTTTTGAACATAAACTATTTACTGTAAACCTGAGAGATGAATATTGTAAGGGCGATTTTGGGCCACCATTTGTTGAGCGTAACGTGAAGTGATATGAAACCGTGTATTGCGTTTCGGAGAAATTTCTGCCACCGTCTTCAAAATTTACTGCTCGTTTTTTGCTTGGTTTACACTTCGAACCTGAAGATGGAGGTAGTAGGTTCCACTGTAACGTCGTTAAACTTCAACTAGACTACAGTTCGCCACATCCCTGAAGATGGTACCTTTCGTGTCCGTTGTGTTGGTTCTTGGCACAGATTTTTGTTTGTAACTCAGAAACAATTTGTTTTGATTCTGAGGAACCGGCCAGCTCCTGCAGCCTGTGTTGAGGGTAGCCAGAGTTCCCTTCGTCTTCATGCTTGTGAGAACTTTATTGGAATTGCTTTATAAATGTGTATATGTGTGGCTTGCAGGTTTACGAAACCACAGACGTTTGCGGACTGCATCGGAAACGAACTGCCGTTGGGCTGGGAAGAGGCATACGACCCGCAGATAGGATCCTACTACATCAACCATGTCAATCGTGAGTACACTGTCCGAGCAGTCTCCTTTAGAACTCTAGCCTGCCTGATGTTCGTCGTCGTCGTCATCATCGTCATCATCGTCATCATCATCATCATCATCATCATCATCATCATCATCATCATCCTAACTCCTTGGAGCCGAGGCCTTCGTCAGAAGCCGTCAGTCGCTCAGCCACTCAAGAATTTCCCAGCATTTTATTGAACAAGGATCATTACCATGTTCCTAGGAGCCCTCCATTGGTTCCTAACTTGAGCCATATGAATCCAATCCATACCACCCCATCCTTCTTATCTAAGAGTTATTTTAATATTCTCCCACTTATATCTAGGTCTCTCTGGTAGCTCTTTCCTTTTGGCTTTCCCATCAGAACCCTATATGCATTCTTCTTCTCTCCCATGCCTGCTCTGTCTTCTTCTTATTATTATTATTATTATTGGTTGAGGCACTATGCTACAAGCCGGAAGGTTGCGGGTTCAAATCCCGATGAGGTCATTGGATTTTTTTTCAATTGACCTAATCCTTCCAGCCGCACTATGGCCCTGGGGTCGACTGAGCCTCTAACAAAAATGAGTACCAAGAATATTCTTGGGGCTAAAGGGCGGCCGGCGCGTAAGGCCGACAGCCTTGTCGCCATCTATGAGCTGATTGTCTGGATAATGAGGACTGCACAAATTGGGAGCGCCAAGTTGCCATAACGCCAAAAATCTGAGATGACGCTTAACATATTTCTTCTCATTACATTGTAACTAAGAAGGAAATCAATTTCTTTGGGGTTTTCCTCCATCCCTTTGGTGTCTTTATTTCTCCCACCTTTCTCTTTTATTTATTTCTAACCCAATTTAGTTGGTCCCCCAATCGTCGTTTCTGCCCCTCTTCCTTCCACCCTCTCCCTTTCACACTTTCCCATTTGCTTTCTCCCGTTTGCTCCTTTCTTTTCTTCCATACTCCTATTTGCTTTCTCCCATTCCTTTTCCTCTCTCCATTTTTCTTCGTCCTTGTTCACGTGTAAACATTGCCTTCACCCCTTTGCTTGCATACTATTATCCATTTGTCTCCTTCACTCCTTTCTTCCATATTCCCTTCTGATCTCCTTTATATGCTCATCCCATTGACATTCCAGTCCATCTGACGTAGCAAAAGAATACGGTTTGAATTTTTCCTTAGAGTATATCAATTACGCGTCGGGTTTTTCCCCGCTTGCGAAAGAAACTGGTTATTATTTACTATAATAGATGTTTCAGGTGTTCTTTTGTTAATAAAACGAGCGAGTTTTTTTTTTCATTCTGCTTTTAGATTTAGGAGGTTGCTCCTAGATTTACATGAAATCTGTGTGTAGACCTGTATTGCAGTTACGTCAGAAGTAGCCTGCTAGCAGAAAGACATGAACTAGCATTTAAATGGATAGAGAGAAGAATTCTAGTATCTTTAAATCGTTTTAATCGAATCAAATCGCTCCATTTGATGCTTTGAGATTTCTATATTAGAAATGGACCTGAAAGTAATTGTGTCGTCATGATTAGGCTGTGCGATGCATAGGCCTATATTGTATATTAATCGCCAGGTACTTTCTTGTAGAGCATTCTGTTATGGCTGATGGCCTTACGTTATTGCGATCAGATCGCCAAAATTATAAATGTAGCCTGATGCATCATCAATTTGCTGACATTTCTGTTGTTGAGATACTTTTCTCCCCTTTAGGGTCTATTGTCTGGGAAGTTTGATTCTGGGGGAGAGGCGACATGGTTGTATTTGAACCGGGAACCATGATACGTCTAGATACAGCCGCTGCGTGACGTTGTAGCGTGTTACAGCCTCTGAATCGTGAAGGGATTTGATGCTTGCTCTTACCAAATTTAAATTCAGTCTACAGTCGGTTAGCAACAGGCTGGACGACTTAGGAGTCGGAGTTCGAGTCCTGGTGGGGTCAAGAATTTTCTCTTCCCCACGTCGTTCAGACCGGCTCTGGGGCACACCCAGCCTCTTATCCAATGTGTACCGCGGGCACTTTTCCCTGGGGTAAAGCGGCTGGGGCATGGAGCTAAAAACTCACCTTCAGCTACTGACGAGGTCAAGAAAACGTGGATCTATATGTTCACTCCCTCATACGCCTTCATGGCGTTGTGCTAAATTAAGTATAGGGACAACCTCATAATGTATGCCTTTCAAAGGACACAACACCCATACGTATGTCCACTTAAACTTGGCATATATACTGACTCTTATGTTTTTTTTTTCTTTGGCGCTACAGTCCCATTTCAGGCCTTGGTCTACCTCCATAAAACCCTCCGTTTCACTTTAGTTTACTAAATCTTAGGCAATCGGCAGGACTCCTTGGACGGATGAACAGCTCGTCGCAAGGTCCCTACCTGTACACAAACAGTAAACATCCATGCCTTGAGTGGGATTCGAACCAACGATCCTGGCTTCCGAGCGAGCGAAGACCAGTGCATGTCTTAGACCGCTCGGCTACCGTGACCGTCGACCCATATGTTACTTTAGCGAAAAACTGATCTGATTTCGGGCTGTAGCTTAACTCCTGCCCCAGACCAGTCTTAGACAAGCCATGAGAACTACGCAAACTCGGCAGTCGTGCAGTTACAAAGGCATCTGATAGAAGACCGCCTCGTTTTCTCCTCAGTAAACAGTAGAACATGTTACAGACCGGCTGTATAATTGCAGACAGAAATTCGAATCTAATCACATTGCAACTGATGATCGGTGAGGCCGTCTGTCTTACCGGCGAACCTCTGTCGGTATAGTGACTAAGTTGCATGACCGAGGAGTGTTCTCCACAGCGTTCAGACCTGCTCTGGTGCTCTCCTACCGAGACGGAATCGGGGGTAAGGCGTCCGGAACGTGAACGTGACTATACCTCTCAACTCTCCAATATATTTTAACGGCGTGGTACTTAGGTAACAACTTTGTTTTTACCCTAAACCCAGTGGTCTTCAATAGGCCCTCTGGCACGAGAGGATGGGTCTGTTCTTTGTTAGAAGTTTTGGTCTCTGTGGAGCTATACCTTCACTCCCTCACACGTCTTCATGCCGTGGTGCTTAACTAATTACGCACTGGGACAGTAAAGAGCTGGAATAAGTAAGGAGATATAGCGACGGGCAACGTGCTGGACGACCGGGGTTAGATTCCCGTTGGGGACGAGATTTTTCTCTATGTCACAGTTCTGAAGCCTACCCAGACTCCTTTCCAATGGGAACCGATGAGTCCTCCCTGGTGTGGGTGGGGGTGGGGGGTTTAAAGTGACAGCTCACTTCTATCTAGTGCCGAGGTCAAGAATGGTCGAGCTATACCGCCACCCCCATATGCTTTTGCATGGCACTGTGTTTAATTAAGCACAGGGAAAACTTTCTCTCTAAAAAAGTAATAGTATTTTTGTTTCGTATATACACATGTACGCCTGTCATGGCCGGCGCGTAGGTCTGACAACCTTGCCTCCATCTATGAACCGATTGTCTAGAAAATGTGGGAACCTCAACATCTCACAATTCTATGGGCCTCCACGGCCTGTTACTGAGATACCTCTACTTTTTTTTTTACGTCGGTCACGGTAGCCGAGCCGTCTAAGACATGTACTGTCTTCGGTTGCTCGGAAGCTGGGATCGTGGGTTCGAATCCCACGCAAGGCATGGATGTTTGGTATTTGTATATGCTTATTCTGTGTTTAGGTAGAGGCCTTGCGACGAACTGATCACTCGTCCAAGTAGTCGTACCGTCTGTAAAATGATAATGAAAGAGGAGAAATTAGAGGTCAGGGCCCAAGGGGGCTGTAGAGCCAGTGAAAAAAAAAAATATACACATGTACAGTTAATTGAACGGCCGTACGCTTGACCGTCGCCGAGTTTAAGCCATTTAAGACGTACGTTACGCATTGTCAGTGTAGCTCATGCAATGTAGCAATATCCCAGGTTATTCAGTATGGGACATAAGAAAATCGTGTTTAATTACTTGAATCTCCTTTGAAGACGGAAAGGGTTAGTACTATAGACGGACATTCGCATGCGAAATGGAGCACTTGAGTCCGCACTATCTAAGGAATGCGGGCTGGCCTTTAAAGAGATTTACAGACATGCTTGAGATAAAGAGTGTGCCACTCTCGTAGAAGCTGTTGCTATTGTCAGTCACTTATCAGGAATGTCACATTGCTTGCTTGCTTTCAGCGATATAGTATACATAGTGAATACCTTACGGGCTTGCATAATCGCCCAACCAGCAGGCAACTGCCGCTGCCGTGGAGGTCAACTGGTTCATTTCGCAGATGGAGTGTATTTCTGCGTTATTTTGCGTTTTTGATTCTCGGAATTAGTTATCTGGATGGAACGTATTTCGGCTTTAGCGATGTTGATCCACGAGGAAGTCAGAAGGACTACTACTGTCCAGTTACCCATTTTCTTGTTCTGTACGGTGGGGAAATGAAGCGTAGTTAAACAAAAGTACTCGGAAAAAACCCGCCCCAGCGTCACTTTTTCCACCACAAATCCCACTTGACCAGACCCTGGATCGAACCCGGGACGCCGCGGTGGGAAGCTAGCGACTAATCGCTTGAGTTATGGCGCGGCCCTAGTTCTGAACTTAGAGATATTTATTTTTTAGCCTGATACATGCGATCAGCGTGCTGCCTGTATGTCAGGGAATCTCCCTCGATCAACTTTTGAATGCCTGAACCAATCCTTATGAAATTTTGTATGCATTTTATGGCACTTGAACCCCATATCAGCGGCCTACTTCGTAAAACCTTCCTATAAGTGTGTGTACATGTGCATCCACCTCTCATTGCGAGACAACGGCTCAGTTGAAAACATTACCGCGGCAATGAATACGCAAGCAATAATAGAAGTGTTGGACGCTTTGTTTTCTATGCGGACCTTGTCATATCGCTGGCAGTAGGCGAGTAGTACTTCCCAGAACTACTTGTATAATTTCATGATGCTGTATCATCTAGTGGTCACAGTTCCTTGGTACAGATCCAGAGGTCCCAAGTTCGAA